CCCCCCCCCCACCTGCTGCCAGGAGGCAGTGGGATGCCCGGGAAGCCTGCAGCAGCAGTCCCATCCCGTGCTAGCAGGGCCTGTCCTTCCGTCCACAAGGGTAGGAGTGAAGCATAATAGGATATGTTGGTGGCGGGTGTAGGCGCTTCACTCCCACCCTTGTGGGCAGAAGGGCTGGGCGAGGCACAATTTGTTGCAGGGTTTAGCAGGCTGAATGAAAGCACCTGGCAGGCCGGATCTAACTTGTGGGCTGTATTTTGTCCGCCCCGTGGAGAATGTTGCAGAAGAACAGATAGTCACAGTTAGGGGAAAGGCTTTGCCCATGTGAAGGGTACAAATTGGTCTCTGCTCATAGGATAGCTTTGAAGTGTGCTGGTAGTTTTCTGTCTGGTCTAAGCTGGCCAGACACAGCTAGTAACACTTTGCAACTTTAATTCCATCCACTTTGCATGTATATTCTGAGACTGACTTTAATTACGTTACCCCTGTGTACTGAACAAGTGTTATTTAGTGAAGGAGATCATGTATAGGTCTGTTGCATCACTTACATTGTAAGTTAGCCAGTGTGCAGTGAATGAGGAACAGAGAGTGGGTAGTGTCAGGGTTAAGGAGGTCGAATGCTACCCTGGAGAACTTGGTTTCTATCCCTGCCACTGCCATAAAGGTTCAGTTTGACACGTTGGGCAAGTCACTTAAAGTAACTTGTGCACTAGTGGCGCTAATTGCAGGCTTCTTATGTTTGGGTGCTCAATGGGGGATTCTGGGGACAAGGTTTGTAGAAGTGTTGAGTACACACAACTCTGGTTGAAATCTGGGGCTGTGCATGAACATAAAGTTCTGTCTAAAGTTAAGACCTCTCAAGCTGGGTACACACTACGGTGGATGCTTCTGACCATTTCAGCATTAGTGTCCATGCAGAGATGTAAGGTTGAGATAACACCACCACCTAATGTCTCAAGTGTGTTATGAGGATGAAGTCATTATGTTTGTGAAGCACTCAGATACAATGGTGAGTGTGCCATAAAAATGCCCCTGAAGAAAGTTGTAATTTTATTCTCAGTTTAGGGGTTGGACAGCAACTGGTATATACAGTCTGAAGTTGGATGCTGAATGAGAAAGATAAAAAGAAATATTTAGTAACTATCTAATTCTTGAATGAGGCAGGGTTCTTGGAAGGGTGGGGGGGAGGAGTATATGATCCTGTAATTAAAAGCTGTCATACTGTATATGCATGCAGGGGCAAAGTTAAAGTTATGCAGTCTGCCTTCAGTCTGGTATCTCTTAGCTTTTGAATTTTGACCTTGCCAGTCTATTAATACCCTTTCCAGGAAAGGAAGTAACTTTACTCTTTGTATCTGATCGTATGTTACAAGCGGAAACAAACACCGTACAGAGAGGCAGTGTTTTTCTTGGTATGTCTGGCTTTGCAGTCCATCCTCTGTGATCGACTGCAAATGCAATATCACAGGATATCTGTTTGTTTTATGCTTTGTGCAGAACCCAGATTCTCATTGTTGACACTTTCCTTGCAGACATTCAATGAGTTTGAGATTGAACAGCACCAGGAATGTGCATATGACCACTTGGAAATGTATGATGGACCCAACAGCAAGTCTCCTATTCTTGGCCGCTTCTGTGGCAGCAAAAAACCAGATGCTGTGGTGGCTTCTACTAACAAGATGTTCCTCAGATTTTACTCAGATGCTTCTGTGCAAAGAAAAGGCTTCCAGGCAAGGCACAGCACAGGTAAGCTGGTCTTCCTTCTGAATGCTTCAGCATAATGAGAAGGTTTCAACCTTGGATTTATTGTCAGGGCAAGCCAGACTCCCTAAAGCAGGCAACACCTATTGAGACTAGGTAGGTCAAAGTAGACATTCCTCAGCAGTTGTGTACTTATACCAAAAAAGCTTTTAGAAAATCCTTTGTCCTCTACCATTTATGCCAATCACTGTTTCTTCACTGGAGTCTTGGGACACTTCTGTGCCCCTTCTGGCATCTCTGTTGTTAAATTCAGAAATGCTTATTTAAGGGTCTTGAGGCACCAGCATAAAGCAAGCTGTGCAGTTGATATTGGCTGGCTGAGAGAAGGGCAATAAGATATGCGCTCAACTCTTAGCCTGATAGTCAGCGTTCCCTCTAAGCTGTGTGGTGTGCATGGCTGCGCAGGCGCACTGATGCCGCACTGCCAGGCGCACCTGTGTGGCCACGCATGCCACACAGCTTAGAGGGAATGCTGCCGATAGTGCCATGGCTGTCAGATCATTCTGCTCCCACAGACAGATGTGAGAATACACACCAGCTTTTGTCTACCTGGGAAGGACTGAGAGAAGACAGAAATATGGGGAGGCTCCACTATGAAAAGAGAGACTCAGTATAGCAAGAAGTTACAGGAGAGGGAAAAACATGTGCTAGGGAGGCATGGCAAATTAGCCTGTTTTGTCATTTCACTGTACCCAAAGAGTTACAAGTATACAGATGAGGCTCTATATTTAGGAGTCTCTGCCACTGCGCACACATGCATGCACAGGCAGATTCCTTGGGAGTCATTTTCATGTATGGTTATTATAAATGCACATGCAACATAAGCTGTTTACTAGTGCACATCCATTTTTTACACCACCTTTGTGACGTCTCCCTATTCACACACCTGGCAAATAGCATTTGAATCTAGCATTTTCATGCATGTTGTTTTTTTTTTTTCTCAACATGCTACTGTTTGCCACTGGCAAGTCCTCAAACCCAGTGCTCCTCCCCACAGATTGTGCAGGGGTTCATTGGGGGTGGATGGTGTGATGGGAGGGAGATGTGTAGCGTCTGATGTGAATCAAGATATGAAGGAGACAATGCAATGTTCTCTGTCTTTGCTCTAGAGTGTGGTGGGCGTCTGAAAGCTGAAGTACAAATGAAAGACCTGTATTCCCATGCTCAGTTTGGGGATAACAATTACTCGGGCCAGTCCAACTGTGACTGGGTGATCGTGGCAGAGGATGGCTATGGGGTTGAGTTAATATTTCAGACATTTGAAATAGAAGAGGAAGCTGACTGCGGCTATGACTACATGGAGATCTATGATGGTTATGACAGCACTGCACCCCGACTGGGACGCTTCTGTGGCTCGGGGGTAGGCCAGAGTTGTTAATGTCTTAGATTTCTTATATTTGAAATGTGTTAAAAAATGCCTGTGGTCAGAAGCCAGCACACACTATGGATTTTAAATGGGGGCCTGGCAAAGATGCTTGGGTTGAGTGGGATAAATTCTTAGATGGCAAGTGTTACAGAGGGTCTGATGCAGAAGGATGGCTGCTGGAGAAAATGTAGGTGAGCAGACAACCAGGAGAAGAGGTTGCTCTTTCCTGGACATAACTAGCAGGGAAGTGGCAGGTTGGAGAAAGCCCAGGATACTAGTGTAAAGGGTCTGTTGAACTGTGTGGGCATGGTGGCTGGTTTGTGTTTTTGAGACAACCTGCCATCTATGCTGAACTGCACTCTGCAGGGCCTCACGGACTTCAGTGAAGTTACATGAGGCAAAATCACAGCACTCATCCCTAAAATACAAAGCATGCATGAATGCTTGAATCTGTATAAGGCATCTATGCATCAGTAACCATGACTAGCACTAACTGTACCCAGCCTGGCAACCTTCACAGTAGTAATAAGGGCTGAATGGGAAATGGTGACTGATATGCTGTCTGCTCATAGAAGGAAGTCTATCCAGGGTGGAGCTCAGTTACATGGGCAGTGGCAGTCCAAGGGGAACTGGTATCCACAGAGTGGACACAATAGGTTGCTACTATTGCATTGTACCCCAGGCGGGTTGTCTACAATGAGCATCAAACCTAACAGTGTTTGATCTTGAGACTTGCTTCCTTCCTGCCTGAGCTTAAGAGGCTCATTTCTGTCAGCTGGCTCATTGGGTACAGGTGGCCCAGTTACCACCAGAGGGGTACAGGAAACCACACTAAGTGGGATATAGGTTGCACAAGCTTCTCTTCTCCACTCTGCCCCTGTTGTGCATCAGTACAGGTGGTCATAAACTCTTCAGTGATGAAGTTTTGTACTGATGATGTTTTTTGCCGCACAAAGCAGAGGCCTCCTCACATTTGACAGAGTGCAGGGCAGTAAGAAACAAAACATCTGGTATTCAGATCTAATGCATGCATGTCAGAGCTCTTTGGGTAAGCACTAGGGCTGTGCAAAGCTTTGGATCACGATTTGAATTCAGAGATGATTCGGATGATTCAGAGGCCGAATCTACAAATCCAAATCGAATTGCTAGAAACTTTAGGCTTTCCAGATCGATTTGGAGCTTCTGAATTGATTCGGAAAAGATTTGGCAATTTGGAGATTCAGCCATAGGGTATAACGGAGAATCAATGAAATATCTATAACTTTGTTGTTTTTCAGCTGACTTGGATGAAACTTGCAGGGGTGGTAGCCTCTGCTGAGGGCATGAAGCCTGCCATGTTTCAAGGTGGTAGGTGCAGTGGTTTCTGGGAAACTGCACCTCGAAGTCGTGAAAGCAAAACTCATCACGTGTGTGTTACGCCACAGCAGGGTGAAAACTTCAGGGGTGGTAGCTCTTGCTGAGGCCACAAAGCCTGCCAAGTTTCAAGGAGATCAGTGCAGGGGTTTGGGGGAAACTGCACCTCAAACTGCTCACAAGCAAAACTCATGACATGGGTGATACTGTGTGTGTGTGTTAAGTAAGGCACAGGGGGTGAAAACTGCAGGCCTGCTAGCCCTTGCTGTGGCCACAAAGCCTGCCAGCTGTCAAGGAGATGGGTGCAGGGGGAGTCTGGGTTCTTGGGCCCTGCGCCTCTGGCTGCAGGCAGGCAAAACTCGTGACATAGGCGCTTGTGGGACGCTACCATCCCTGCAGTTTTCACCCTGCTGTGGCCTAACACACACACATGACATGAGTTTTGCTTTCAGGACTTTGAGGTGCAGTTTTTATCAGCTGTCACCTTGAAACTTGGCAGGCTTCATGCCCTCAGCAGAGGCTACCACCCCATAAGTGTCATCTGAATCAGCCAAAAAACAACAAAGTTATAGATGTGTCAATGATTCCCCATTATACCCTATGGCCAGATCTCTGAATCGGCTCCGAATCTGTTCCAAATTGATTCAGCTGAATTGAATTGGAAAAGTGATTCAAATCTCAGAATCAAATGGGCTGAATCCAAATAGAATAGTTGCCTATTCGCATAGGCCTAGTAAGCACCTGGGCAGACCATTGTAGCTGCTTTGAGTTCCAGCCCTCTTCTTTTAGCCAGGACCATTTATCTGAGTTGTAGACTGACCACTCTGTGTTGTTTTGTTCCCTGCCCCTGCAGCCCTTGGAAGAAATCTACTCCGCGGGGGATTCCATCATGATTCGGTTCCACACAGATGACACCATCAACAAGAAAGGCTTTCATGCCCAGTACACAAGTACCAAATTTCAGGACGCATTGCACATGAGAAAGTAGTTCCTTAGAAACCGAAGAGTGAGACATCTACCTGTGTTCTTTAAAAAAAACCAACAAACAAACTCTTGTGCCCCTGACTTACAGCAGTGTACAGTATTTTTCTGTAATTGATACTAAAAACAGTATGGAAGGTTTGCCTCTGAAATTATTAGCATGGCCCTCTCTTGCTAACATACCCAGGACCAAAAAATTTCTTCTAATCATGACTGCCAGGGCAAAGACTTTTTTATATTTTTTGCACAGTTTGCCATTGGGCTGAATGCAGACAGAGATTGAATTGGAAAAAGCCTTAGTCTACTGCATACTCCATCTCCAGATAGCACTTATAAAGTATCGTATGCATTAGCCATCTTAATACATCTCTTTGGAAACAGATGGTGTGAATGTTCCCCCTCAATGAATGGGACTGTCTTAAAGGAACACTGGGCTGCCCAACCTCATCTTTCCAGTCCAAGATACTCTGTGCAATAAGTACAAAACCATACAACTGTGACTCCAGATCCTGGGATTCGTTTGTGTCCTATGTATTTATTGTCTTGGGTATTCTGCACATGTTAAGGTCAGCTGGGGTCACCATCAATCTGCTGACTTATTGGACCATGTTCAACAAGAAGTCTTTAGTGTCTGATGTGTACAAAAAGTCATGGCACGTGTGGCAACCAAAGTACTCTGTACCAGTGGCCATGGAAGACTGCTATGGCTGACACTGACTGCTCTGGCATCAACCAGGATAAAAAGTTATAAGGGTATCAACATTCAGCTTCAGGGCATGACTTGCTTACTAGCCAGAGTTGGGAAGCAGTCTGCTCTGCTAAATGGCTCATTGTTCTCTTGCAGTATCCCAATTCCTGTGTTTTTATATAAGAATCCCCTGCCATTATTTGCTGGCTAATCTCTATTTATCTAAGATAGTTGTATTGCACAAATTTGTTCCCTTTCTCTTCCCTGGAATCACTGCTTCTTAATTATTCCATTCTTTGTTGAGGTCTCTGTTTCCTTTTCTGTCTGAGGTGTTTTCCAGAGGCTCATATCACTGGCCCATTCTCTCTGTGTGATTCAGTAGTTAGGCTAGCCAGTCAGTTATATTTCTCTATTGAAACACCATGCTTGAGAATTCAAGAATGACTTGGCGCTTGGCACTGCTGAAGGCATTTCTCTGAAGGCAGAAAACCTACCAATTAGTTCCCCTAACCTCTGGCTTTGTCAGGTGCATGGATGCTCAAGACTAGCAGACTGAGTCCAGGGCTAGGAGATGAGAACTCAGTTAGCCTATTTCCACCTGACTTGCTTTGTGACATTGGGCAGGTCACTTAACCTCACTGTGTATCTCTTACCCACATCTGCAAATGAGAATTATGATGTTTTAACTTTTTGATTGAAGCCCTGAAGGCTGAAATGCACTATAGAAGTGTAAGGTAATTTATGTCCATGGTAGCCACTGAGTTAACCAGCACCAAGCCCACAGGCTTGAAAAATTAACTGGTAGTTCTGCATTTCTTTCAGAGAAAGTAGGAGAACCTAAGCCTTTTAGTAAAGCATTGTAAAGTATTATGCTATAGATTATGAAAGAATTTATTCTGAATGGCATTTCGTTAAGGCACTCATGGGCATTACAAGCTAAAAGCTGTGGTATGTTAGCTTTAATAAAGTATTTATGAGCAAAGGATTAATATGTTTACATAACCAATGTACTGTCTGGCCACAGGGCAATGCCTCATCATCTAGTGGAAACTGTGGTAAGTGTGGAGGACTGGCGTCAAACGTCAAGCATGAAAGTGTTTTCGGAGACAACTTTGTTTCCCAGTGTTTTATAAACAAAACATGGCTCCTCTAAAATTTCTGACCTGAAATAGGTGCCCAAGAATTGTGAATACAAAAAAGAAGCAAATGCATGAAAATATTTTCTTGCTTAAAACAGGAAAAGCAAAAGTAATATATAAAAATATATATGCATGTAAAAGACCAGTAGTCTAAGCCTTAATAAGTTGTAGGTGAACAAAACTATGCCATTGATGATAGCTTTACTCCAGGCCATGTGAAACCATGTTACTTTGCATTTGGGGTTTTGGGTTTTTTTAAGGTCTTTTTTTGTTTCCCTTAACTTTTTTTTATGTGGCCTTCTGCTACAGGCAAAGGTATCTGGTCTCACACTGTGTGACAGCAAAATCTGTTTAAAGTGAGCTCTATTATAGGATCTGATCTTGTGACACCCTCATTTGGGCAAAACAGCTGGTGGTTTTAATGGTAGCTTTGCCATGAATAAGGAAGTCAGGGCCACAAATATAATAAAACTGGTCCTAGCAAAATAGAATGAAAGTCCTGAATTGCACTGCAGGTGGCAATTTGGAACATGCTGACTTGATGGCTGGAGTGAGGATGTCTTTCTAGAGGGAAAATCATATAGTAAAACATTCCTTTGAACTGAAGTGTTTTCATTACATGTTATGCCTAGTTTCTAATATTTGTTGGACATTAGATTGTATATTCTGGGTCATTGCAAACATTTGCAATGTGTTTGGACAGATCTGCTACATTTGTTAGCATTCAAATAGATAGGTGTGTTTCTGTTACAGTGAATTAGCAACTGTTTTACTTTGCACTTCAACCAACAATCTGTTGAAAATTTCTCTTCTGTGCTGACTGGGTTTACACAGTCAATAATCTTAAATGCCTAAAAAGGTTTATTTCTTACTTACGTTCTTTTGTTTTCTTTTTAAGGAAACAAGTCAAATTCTTCAAAATGTATACACATTCTGGTCTTTGTGTAGTTTTAAATTTAATTAAACTAAATTTTAAAAAAGAGGGAACTAATCTGAAATGTACCTGTGCCCAGAATGAACTCTCTAAATTAATTAAAGAATGTGGATTCAGCTGTACATTGCGTGTGAGTGTGTGCGCGTGCATGTGTGTGTGTACGCACACACGTGTGCATGAATACATTTAACATCTTCTTTGCCAGGCTTTGAGGGGAAAAAAGATCAGTTTGCACTTAAGTTCATTTCTTAATTTTGGAAGGTACTGAGCTGGTTTTAAAGACTGGGTTCTCAGCCCCTTTGCTGGGGCTGAGAGCTGAAGTTAAGGTAGAAACTGGTGCTGGTTCAACCTGCAGCTTCTCCCTTTTCTACACATAGCAAATCAATGAAAACACAATATCATGTTGTACGTTCAGTATTGGATAAATCCAATAATGGTCTTAGTCCAGAAATGGACTTATGGGAAGGGGGAAGCCACATTATCCAAAGCACCAACAGTGGCCATCAATACCAGGTGGCTGAGATGGAGTTAAGGCACCTGCACACAGATCTCTGTTACGGTATTTTTAATTCAAATACTTGTTCCCTCACAGGCAGGGCAAACATAAATCAACCTGGGCATACAGAATCATAGAAAAGTAGGGCTGGAAGGGACCTCTAGAGGTCATCTAGTCTAACCCCCTGCCTGGGGCAGAATCACCCCTATCCAAACCATCCCAAGAAAATCCTTGTCTAACCCATTACAAAAACTACATAGGCAACCCTGCCACACAGCCACTGAGCATAGCACCCTAACTGGCCACAGGCAAAGCAAGCGACAATGGTGGCCAGGGTTCTGCTGCTGGAAGGGTTGTTAAAATATGGTTGAAAGATCCTAGGGAAGAGGAAGGGAAACCCCCCAAAGTCTGTAGCATCTGACCATGGGGTAAAATTCCTTTCTAACACTAAATATGGTGATTGGCCTGACCCCTGAGCACAGGGACAGGATCCTCTAGCCAGACCTCTGGTGTTTAGTCCCAGCAGGAGCATCGGCACACTCCAGTTAAAATCCCAAGCCTTGGCTGCAGCCAACACCTTATACTTCTGTGGCAGGTGAAAAAATGCTGTGTGTGTGTGGGGGGGGGAATTCCTTTTTTGGCCTCGTGTAGCAACCAGTAAAGCCCAGATGCCTGGGAAATACCCGTAGTAAGACTACTATGTGACTTAAAGCACCAACTTCAGTAATTAGGATGAACCTACTATAAACTATTAGCCAATTTTACGAACAGGCAAAACAGATTCTCACCTTAGATTAACACAATGTTGAGTAGCCAGCATCTATTGTGTATGATCAAGAGTAGTTTTCCACTTGTTTCTGCTTTCATTCATTTTTTTACTATGGAAACCTTAATAGAGCAATTCTTCTGTTGCAAAGAACTTAGAAAGACCACCGCAAGGGCAGAATGGTTTTGACACCATGGATTCCTATTGAAATCTCTGTGTTTATCTTGTAAATCATTTGTAAATGTTTTCACACCTAGCAGTGTTAGCATTGGGCAGCTTCTTGTTATATACTTAAAAGGATCTTGCAACATGCCAGGATGCCATAGCACCATGGTCAAGAATCACTGATGTAGGCACAATGCATGATGTTGAGAGGCTATAGTGATAGTCACTAACAGACTTCATCCACCCAAATCCTAACCAGTTGCCACAAGCACAATTTGGAGAAGCAGTTTCATGATCCCATATGCCTTTTTGGAACACCTGTTCTTGACTTTGTGGTAGGTGAGGAGAGCAATTTCAAGCATGGAGTAGACAAAAGCTGCTAAGCAGAGCTAGCTAGAAAATGCACTTTCAGGGGAAAAATTCAACAAAAAGCTAAAGATCTGTATTTTGGTCAATGCTGAACTGTTCCACTCTGGAAATGCCTCTATGAAGTTTCATGTTCCTATTTTCTTCTGCAAGCCAGGTTTCCAGGTTGCCAAAAGTCTCTGTAGTTGCTCCTCACAATAAGCAGTCATGTTGAGGGAGATATAATCTGGCTGGAAGCCCTGTCCCCAAAGCAGAATAATTGTATCATGAGTCTGAATTATAGCTCTTGTAAGGAACAATGACAGGACAAACAAGTGAAAATGTATCAACTGTTAAGCAGCTCGGTTTTCAGTGAAAATTTATTTTTTTTCACAAAAATCAGATATGTTTTGCAGAAAAGTTACTTAAACCCCAAGTGTTCTGTTTTGGTGTTGATGGTAAATGTTCAACTTCTAGTTTGTAACTGCACATTCATTGTCCAATTTTTCAACACAAATTAGTATGGCACTAAACTTTAAGAAAGATGATTTTTTAAAAAAGCTAGTTCAAAAGAACTCAGAGACAGAATTTAAAGCATGTATCATCATTGGCAGCCACTGGTCTCAGGAGACGATGGATATTGCATTATTGGTGGGTTACTGGGTACCACCACAGCTTTGTGAGTGGCTGAGGAGTCTGGTGCGTGACAACCAGATCCTTTGGCATGTTACACATACAAACTTGGTTGAGTTTGTGCTGACATACCATCTTGTCTGCCTCTGATGCCTCTTCCCTATCTCATCATTGACCCTCTGCACCTTGAAGCTTCACAGCGGCTTTCCACTCTCAGTGGTCCAAAGCGATTGATTCTCAGCATTGGCTATTGATGCACAGCTCGTGAAGGTTTTTCTTGAAGACTTCAAGAAAACAGAGTTTGGGCCATCTAAGTTGATGTTTGCCAGTGGTGAGCTCACCATAGGGTACATCCTTGGGGATTCGGCCATCGCTTATACGATTTTCATGTCCTAAGCAACAGAAGCATCTCTGTCTCAGGAGCATGAACATCTTGACCCATTCCAGAACAGTGAAGTTGGAGATTTTGTCATGCTGTATTATGCCCAGGACACAATGGAGACATCAAAGATGGAAACTGTTCGGTGTTCCTTGGCATAAGGAGTCCACGTTTTGCTGCCATACAATAGAATGCTAAGTATACAAGTGTTGTAGATGGACATCTTTGTCAATATAGTGAGTGCTCTGTTTTTCCAAAGTTTCTTTTGAAATTTAGCCATGGTGTTGCTTGCCTCTCTGAAGCAGGCATTAATTTCAGCTTCCAAGCCAAGATTTTGTAAGACAGTGGAGCCCAAGTATGTGATTTTTTTCAAGTACTTTGAGGCTTTCATCATTTATTCTAACTTCAGGAGGCCAGTCAACTTGTTGACCCATGACTATTGTCTTCTCTAAGCTAATGGTCAGACCAAAATCATCACAAGCATCAGCAAAGCAATCCATGAGACTTTGGCATGTATAACCCTTGGAAAAAGGGGTTGTCCACACACATGGGTGGATCTAGAATTTTGGAAAGGAGAGTGCAGATGGTAAGGTGCATCACATATAAAACAACACTTTTTCTGCAGTTAAAAATAAAATAGAAGCTTTATTAATACCCTGGAGGCCTGGGGCTATGTGGCGGGCCAGTAGGGAGTGCGCCTACACTGAACCACCCACCCCACTGCAGCGACCACCTTCCAGGCTCCAAGTGCCTCCCTGGGGGCGCCTCACATCTGAATGACCCCCTTCCTGGAGCACACCCACAAGCCTGGGAGGTGGTTGGGCGCAGTGAGGCAGGTGGCTCAGCACAGGAGCACCTCCTACTGGCCCGCCACATGTGGTGGTAGCTGTGGCATCTGACAAACTCCTGTTTTGAAGGCATAATTTGGGGAAGGGAATAGAGTCACTGAAAACCCTTGAGCAAACAATCTCTAATTTAGCATCAGGTCAACCGGACAGTATAGGTAGCTAGGATGCCTGACGAATATGACCACATGACTGTGGACGACTTGAAAGAGGTGATGAAAGAGAGAGCCCTTCCAGTGAGGAAGAACCAAAAGAGAGAAGACCTGATTAAGATCCTGTGTGATAATGACCAGGTTGCAAGATCTCCTACATGCCTCCATCCAGCAAACAATGAGGGCCCTGAGAGGTCACCCACTGAGTGGGACTTCCAGAGGTACCAGCTGCAGCTGGAAGCTGAGGAGGCCCAGTGCAAGCATGATCTAGAGCTGAAGAGGATATAGCTGGAGTTGGTGGAGAAGGAGGCACAGTGCCAGTGCGAGGCAGAACAGTGCCATTATGAAGAGAGGGAGGCCCAGTGCAAGGCAGAGGTTGAGGAGGCAAGGCTCAAGCACAAGAGTGCGGTTGAACTACTTCAGAAGCAGCAAGACACCAGAATCCAGATTGATCCACCTCAGCTGGCACCTGCTGCACCCCACCCCCAAACTGAACACCCCAGTCTTCTCTCACTACAAAGATGGGGATGATTCAGAAGTGTTCCTAAGCAACTTTGAAAGCCAAGCACACTGATGGAAGTTGGAAAAGGAAGAGTTCATGAAACATATGGCTGCTCTGGTTGAGGGTGACCTATCCGTTGTCCTGAACAGCTTGCCCTCAGAGTTGGCGGATAACTATGATGCCTGTAGAGAGGCGGTGCATGTAAGGTTTAAGATAGGTCCAGATTACTTCCGAGAAAAATTCCATAGCACCAACCCCCAACTAGGAAAGACCATGAACAAATTTGGGGCCCAGCTATAGGACTCATACCAGAAATGGAAGAAGGGAGCCAAACCTACCACCATGGAGAAGATGGACATATTTATGGTGCTGGACCAATTCTATTCCAGATGCCCAAGGGAGATTAAAACCCTTGTCAAGGACAGGGGCCCTAAAACAATTTGCAAAGCTACAGAAATTGTGGACCATCTGTTGCTAAATAGACAGGGGCTGAAGCAAAAGCCTCCCTACTTTGAGAAGGAACAGAAAGGGTTCCACAAGGGTGGGAGGGGAGGGCCAGGCCTAAAATGGGAAAGGGGGCCACCTCCTACAGAGTGCAAGGTGGCTCCAGATTCAGACAAACCACGCAACTGGGAAAAGAGGGGTTGCTATAGCTGCAGGGAGTAGGGCCACATCAGGCCCAACTGCCCAAAGCTAAGCAACAAACCCAAGCCAGTCAACCTTGCAACAGCAATGGGGAGAGGGAACCAAGCTAC